TCTGATCTTCGGAATGTTTAACAAGTGCAAAAAACCTATAAAACATTTTAAAATTTGTTTCATCTTTCTCTACACTGCTAAGGAGTTTAGGCTTGTAATAAGAAATTTTCATTTTACTAAAATCAATTTAGAGAAAAAAGTGTATTATTTTAAATTTTGTCGGTGTATAATTTTTAGGTAAGGGTTTGAACTATCATCTTGTAAATTCAGATACAATTATTTTCGGACCTTTGACGATTTTGACAGAAATGATCTAACCACCCCCTGGTCTTCCTTGCTTACCCTGTGAATATTAGACAGCTCTAGTGATTTTTTAACTAAACTTAATTTTGGTAAGGCTATAGTTTTATGGGTATTGTTTGTTTTTGTTATTATTTGCATTTAAAATCATTAATTTAGTGCGTTTTATTAAATTTAAAAATCTGATTTTGTCAGAAATGCACCTGAATAAGTGTAGAATGCCCACCCTTAATGTTGCGCAATCGGTTAATTTAGGCAATTCCAAAACGGTTAGCCAAGTTTTTAGGTTAAAAAATCGGCTAAGCATAATTAGGCTTAGCATTAAAATAGGCGAGAACTAATTATTCAAAAATTAGGCAACGGCTAAGGAGCTCGGTTAATCGCCCGTCATATATCGTTACATAATAAATATATTAAATAATTTTAATAAAGGCTAGGCTTAGTGATGCGTAACGCTGACGGGCGATTAGCCTAGCTCCCAGTCCCTACATTTTGTCTAATTAGTTTTAGGCGATTTTTCGGTTAAGCCAAATTAGGTTTAGCTGATTTTTAGGCTACTAACATTACTTAAATTTCAGATTAATGTAAATTAAAATTTCTTCAGAGGTTCAATATAAGATCTTCTGAAATTTATAGGGTGGGTATTCTATACATATTATAATGCATTTTCAGCGAAATCAAATTTAAAATTTAATAAAACGCGCTCAATTTATGATTTAAAATGAAAAAATAAAACAAAATAAAATTATTAAATACAAAAAAATATTGGCGCAATCGTATGAAATTCCCAGGGTAGATTCTCTTCGGAATTGGTAAAATCAGATTTATTAGGGAAATTATAAAAGCGCACTATAAATCAGAGACCTGCCCGACCTTAAGCCCGGGCAGTATTTTAATTTTTTTAAATATACCCGCCGAGCCTAAAATTTTATTTTTTTAAATACACGGGCCGGGTCAAAAAAAGCTTTTTTTTTAAAACTCGAGCCGGGCCATATATTTTAAAACCAAATATTACAACACCATTATTATCTAGGCAAATTAAAAATATATAATATATTTTTAAAAAATCGGGGCCGGGCTAAGCAGATTAAAATAATGCACAAAGCAACTAAATATTGACAAAATTTTCTAAAACAATTGGTGTAAGGCTGGCTTTGTTGCTAATAGTTTTTTTTTAAAATGGCTACTCTACTAGTTAAAGCAAAGCACTAATAGAAACTGATAAAGAAGGAAACATTTTCATAATTTTAGCATTACTACTTCTAATTGTTCAGCGTATTTTAAAAAATAACAACAGAAAACTCAAAAATATTATCATAATTATTCATAAGCAATACAAATCAGGAACGTGAATAATTTTTTTTAAGATTATTTTTTCCCTTTTTTTATTCAAGGGTTCCGAGAATTTATATGACGGCATATGTCTTGTTTTTTTTGAGAAAATTTATTTCTAAAATAATACTTAATTCATTTTCTATAAAATTCTATAAAATTATTCTCTATAAAATCCTTCTCTATAAAATAATTCTCTCTAAAACAATTCTCTGTAAAATATTCTCTATAAAATAATTCTCTGTAAAACAATTCTCTGTAAAATATTCTCTATAAAATCATTCTCTATAAACGACATTCTATATAATTGTTTTCTCTTTAAAAGTTTCTCTATAAAATAAATTCTCTATAAAATCATTCTCTATAAACGAAATTCTCTACAAAATCATTCTCTATAAATGAGATTCTCTATAAACGACATTCTCTATAATTGTTTTCTCTTTAAAAGTTTCTCTATAAAATAAATTCTCTATAAAATCATTCTCTATAAACGATATTCTTTATAAACGACATTCTCTACAATTGTTTTCTCTATAAAAGTTTCTCTATATTTGCATTCTCTATAAAAGATTCTCTGTAAAGACGGGATACCGATTAATATATTTAAAAAAAATATATAAGAATAATAATCATAACTCATTTTTAAATATATTATTTGAACGTAGAAGTAATATACTTTCTAATATGAGTCGATTCATATCTGTTCGTTGTGAACACAAATTTTAGCCCCGATAAGGCCCTTTAACAGAAACTTGTGCTGCAGAAACCACAAGTACTATAATAGCAAATTTATATAATTCTGGGTATTAAAATTTTCTTGATTCCCACTGTATAAAAACTGATAATTTTTTAGATTAATTAAGTAAATGCAATTCAAAAATTGGTTATTTAGATATTTTATATTAAGATATAGAAAATAAGAAGGCTCTAATACTATATGCAGTTAAAAGATTGTGTTAGTAAAAAAATTATTATATACTTCTTATGGATATTAAACAAATATTTTGATCTTTAATAATTATAAATAACGACGCAGATATAGTAAAATATGTATTACACCACGGAAAAAAATGTAAAATTATATATTTCATTCTGGTTGAAACAATTTTTTTAAGGTTCATTTTACTCCTTCAAAAAAAATTATATCGGTTTGTCTACTGTCCAGTTATTTATAACGGTTCAGAGGATCATTCCAGTTCACTCGGGGTCCCTGAATTGTACTAGTCTTGTCTGATGATAAAACCTTCTGACAAATCTTGCAATGAAGTTAAGACCATTTTAATTTTTTTTTATCGAAGTTAAAATATTTTGCGAATTTAGAAAGGAAATTCCATATTATCATCATTTTCCATGGAAAATCTTTTTTGATATGCTCTATGCCAAAATTATCTTTAATGTCAATCTCTATTGTCAACATTTTGGACTATTCGCTACTTTCTAAATTAGTAGTGAGCTACCACTATCGCTATTTTTTTTAAATTTTAGCGCGCTAAAACAACCGTTGCTGAAAAAAGTAGTGCGCTACTATAATAACACTGCATAAAACAACATTAAAGAATCAAAATAATAAATAATTTTAATTAAAACATATTTTTCTACCTAAAAAGGAAAAATAGTTTAATATAAAAAATTGGTAATTGAATATTCTGCTCATGATATCAAAATAAATATAAAATCTTTCAAACCTCCTGACTGACTTTTAAATCTTGTTTTTTTAAAAAAAAATCATATTTTGATTGTAATATTAAATCAGCCAAATAATGGGTAGAAATAAAAATAAAATATTAATTTATTTTCGGGTTACCGGGGGATATATATTTTATTGATGATCCTATGTTCTCGCAGGATGAGAAATCTTATTAGCAATTATATTGATAATAATAATTAATTCGATATAATAAATTTGTAATAATATATTATGTAGTATTGGAATATGGAATCCATGATACATTTAATTGAGAGCAATTTTAATATTTGGGAAAGTTTGATTTGGTTGTAAATGTATTTCAGGCATGTATAGAGTACCCACATTTGATATTTAAACAACGTGACCTTTGGACCTAACTTTTATTATACGGATTTTTTAATATGAATTAAAAATTAAAACACAAACGTTTATATTAAGTCTGGAATAGGATAAGGTACTCTACACATGCTGGAGTACATTTTGCGGTTATTTAAAAAAAATTTAAATCGCCCTCGGTAAATGATTAAAATTGAGAGATTCCAAATCCACGAGGTTTTCCTTATTCCAATAACACATATATATATCGATATCTAAGAGAAGTAAAAAAATCAAATAAGACCAATAAAGCGTCACCCCCCTCCCTATTCCACTCTCAATTCTTATAGAATCTAGTTTTTTCAGGCATTACTATTTATATATAATACTACCGGAAACTGACGATACATTTATTTAAGTATCAATTACTAATCAGGTGCTAGTGACACTCCCACCATAAAAGCGGGTAATCAGCTGTTTCTTATTCAACGACGCTTCAAAATGCATTTAAATGAATGAATCGTCATTCTACTAGGATGGTATTAGACTTTATTTAGTTCACTATAATATCAAAATATATTTATGTTTTTGAAAATATAAAAAAAATGCACGTGATACTTATGGGTAGGATTGTTAAAAGGCCCGATTTTCGAAAACGTCCGGAAGATCTTAGGCAAAATAATATTATATAATTCTCTAAATTTGGCAAATAGTGGCCCAAACCTTTTTCCATCTAATGTTATTTTGGCTAATTAATCGGGTCTTTTTTAAAAATCCACCGAAACGAGTTTTTACTTATGGAGCCTATTTAAATCTATTATATTCTTTTTTGATTTAATTTTTTTTTTGTTAAATTCTGATCTTAAGGCAAATCTAAATATTTATTGTAATTTTATATAAATTTATTTTAGGCCCGAATTTTTTCATTTTGTAATTTTTTCTATTTTTAAAATTATATTATTGGGCAGGGGGTATGTCGGGATCTCCATTAATTCTTATCTCGCATAAATTTTAGCACATGATAGATTAAAAATAAAATTCCTTCCTCGTTTAAGTGAATACCTCACAGCAAATAACATTTATTATAATTTTAAATATATTTAATATGGCCATCATTGCCAAGCGATTGATCTAAAAAAAATTTAAAACTTCTAATGGATTAGCGAGACTATTTCTCTTAATATCTAACTTTTCTTAGAGCCCTACTTGTCGAAAGTCGTATTCGAACCTAAATATTTTTAAATCAGGTAAAAAAAATTAATTTGAAGGGTTCTACTATAAACCTTAGTGTAAACCGAATCGTTAAATATATATATGATATATTGTTGTAGAATTATTATTTCTTTTCTTATATCACATGTTTTTCAGGCGAATTGATAGACAGGCTATTCCAAATTTTTTTTTAAATATAAATATTTTCTTAAAGTTTATGGACAAATTATGTCAAATAGTAGTGACTGTCAATTTCCGTGTAGAAATGGAAACTGCGTACTTTCTTCCGATTTCAGGGATGGCCAGGATGATTGTGGAGATTATTCGGATGAAGGTAATTTTTTATATATTTTTTTAAAATATAGCTTATACTAATTAAAATATAATTTTTTTATAGAATGCTTACCTTGGTATTATACATGTCCAAAAACCGGTGTTTGTATATCAGCTCAAACTTTCGCCACTGGAAATTATAACTGTTCTTTAGGTAATTTTAACATAGAAAATATAAAAAAATTGTAACCCTGTATTCTCAGTTAGGAGAGAAGGAAGGAAGGAAGGAAGGAAGGAAGGAAGGAAGGAAGGAAGGAAGGAAGGAAGGAAGGAAGGAAGGAAGGAAGGAAGGAAGGAAGGAAGGAAGGAAGGAAGAGATAAATAGGAAAGAAAGAAAATATAATATTTTTATAATTTTTGTATACAACGCTGCGAATTCGCGCTAACTAGGAATGAAGGATAAAATATAACTATGATTTATTATTATTTTATTAATAATTATTGCGCGAACAGTTAGATTTATTTATGATTATTTAATTTCTGACCGACGCTTTTTATTTTGTTAATCAACCATTCTTTACTTTTAAGCTTTACGATTCTTGTTCAATCGCGCCCTTTCATTTTCCATTTTGACGCCCTTTTTTGCCTTTACTTTTTTGGGGAAGCCACTTATCAATTTTTTTTAGAAAATATTAATCGTAATTTGGACATTTTTAGAATTTTTATATTAATTATTTTAAAAAACAATTTAATTGCATAAAATATTCAAAAAAATGGCAATGGGAATTGTGTGATGACAAAAATATAGTAATACATTCACCATGAGCATATAAGCATCCACGAGATGGGGGGGGGGGGGGGTAATATTCATGGTGAAAGTAATACAATATGTACCTATTTAAATACTTTGGCAATCATTTTAGAATCATAAATGTTAAATCAATGGTTTAAAGTAATATATTCGATTTATCGCTTCAGATAATAAAAATTGAGTTTCACTTGAGCCTCATCGAACTAAAAAAATTCATAGAGGCCCCTGACTCACAGTAATTTAATTCTGTGACGGATCTTAGTCCCTTAATATATCTAATTTTTAATGAAATACTACTTATAGCTTCTTTGCTGCCATATGTTATCATTTACATTTCACCCACGGTGGACTAGCTAACATTCTGCCTTAGTCCATAACTTTCAGCAAATAAATTAATAAGCATCCGTATCAATCTGATTTTTTACCTGACGGAAAATCTGCATCTTATATCAAATCATTCAAAAATAAAATTATATATAGTATTAACATTAATCTAACCCTACCCATTTCATTATAAATTTTTCCTTTTAATTAATCTGTCACTCCGTTATTTTCTTCTTACATAACAGATGTTGATTATTGCTCTTCTTCGACTCTTAACGATTGCTCTCCATTAGCTAGATGCGAAAATTCAGGAATATTTTACAAATGCATTTGTTTACCTAATATTACGAGGGACGTATCCATTAATTCTAAATATCCGGGGAGAGCGTGTGTCAATATCACTGCTCTAAATATCATAAGAAACATGGGTAATGCTAATAATAGGTTCAGTTCCAATCCAAACAACATGTAAAATAATTTTTAATATATTATAATATTAAATTATTTAAACGTTACATTTTATCATTAGGAATTATTGGCTAAACTAACTTAAAGCACTGCAAATTGAAATTTTTAGACCGACTCCGGCTCGGTTGAATATTTTTATTGATTTGTAAACTGGGCCAATCTTTTAAATTTTATATTTTTAGGCCTAATAACCAGATCCGAAATTAGTAATTGAAATAAACTAGACACATTTTTATAAAGTTGCACAAAAATTAAAAAAAACGCTAATTTCTTTCTCCTATTCCCTGGGGAAAATGATTGTCTTATTTTAATGAAAGAAGCAAAAACGCCTAATTTTTTTAGAAAAAAAGCTAACTAAATTATTCATTATACAAACATTATCTAACAAATTTGATATAAGACACTTGGATTTCATAGAGATTTAGGGTTGCAAATGATACTGTTACCTTTATACCAAAGTTATTTTATTAGTAAATAGTATAAAAATTTACTATAAGTGTCTTTTACAAAGACGTACGGAGTATGCCGATATTCATCCAATATTTTTAAATGCTATTATTTTGGTCTTTCCACTTGATCTTTGCTATTGTGCTTAAAAACAGATAACGATTAGATATAAAATGTAATCAAAACATTGTTATTGTCGTTTAATCTAAATTATATCAGAGACCTGCAGGCCCCGTTGCTTATACCCAGAGTTGTTAAAGGATCGAATCAAAAGATCGCCGATCCTAGATTCGATCCTAAATTTGTCAATTTTCTCGGATTTAATCCTGACCTTAAATTGTGGATCGTGATTGAGATCATTTTTTTTAAATATTCGATCCCGATCCTTTTAAAATTATTTTTTTACTTAAAAAGCAATAAATAAAATAAAAATTTTGAGATAAATTACCACCAGATTTTATATTTCAACAATTTCCCAAATTTTTTGTAAGAACAAGTTATATTTATTTATTAATTATATTATAAATTCTAGGTTTTAATAATGTCCTCCATTATAGATTTAGAAGATGATACATCTACTTCTATTGATGTGACAGCAGATATAAGTGAGAATGAGAATCTTTTACCATTTCATAATTTACGTAAGTAATTTACTTTTGTGAAACGGTTGGAAGTAACCATACAATGATCTATGCAAAATGCTCTTTATGCACAAACAAAATATCTTCTTCAAAGATTAGAAGTTCAAACCTAAAGAGGCATTTAGAAGTAATTAATTCTTTTAAAAATACAATTTTTATTATTTGTGAAGATCATAACAATATGCATATAATAAAAATTATAGATTTCCTTCACTATATGATGACAGTAATATATTGGCATCAATAATTTACCCAAAATTTAAGCTCAATTGGCCTTTTATTAATCTGCCACAAAATTTGTTGCTAAAGAAAGGTTAATTGCCCATTTAGAAAATATACAGGGTCAATCATATGCAGATCCTTTAAATGAATGCATGGATCGATACCTTTTTTGGGGAAAACTTGTCACAAAATGCTCTTTCCATTAATAATTTTTTTTATTCTAATGATGATTCAGTGAATATTTTTAATAATTATGTTATTAAAAAAAACATTTATTGAAATAACACACCTTTACCACCCGCTCCTGTGGAGCGCTTGTTTAGTAAAGCTAAACATGTATATAATGAAAAAGGTGGTTGTTTAAATGATGATAATTTAGAAAAAATTTTATTATTAAAGGCTAATTTATTATGAATAAATATATTTTAATTGTTATACTTATATTATATTATTCAATTACAATAAATTTATACCATATTTATTTATTTTTTATATTAGTTAATTTTGCATCGATCAGAAATATAAATAAGAAAAGGATCGTGATCGTGATCGCGATCCTTTTTTTTAAAAAAGGTCGATCCTGGATTTCGATCCTCTTTTTTCAAAAGATCGTGATCGGGATTCGATTTTTTTAAAAGGATCGATTAACAAGCCTGCTTATACCATAATTAATTATGATGTAGAAATCTGTTTTTGTTCAATGCTCAATATAACTTGTTATCTAGGGTCTAAATAAATAATAGCATATGCTACACTGTTTTGCATAAAGTTTTCTCGAATTATAATGTTTCCAATATTTCATATGAAAAATAACTATTTAATTATTCTAAAACTAATGGGCATTTAACCCATATGCCATAAAATTCAGATAAACACAATTGCTCTAAGCATTTTTAATATTGATATTTTTAGAGGTTCTAATACACTAATAGGATCCCATATTTGATTCCAATCATATTCAGACAATACACAACATAAAAGATAACAAAATGAAAAATATATTTTATAAAAAACAAATAGAAATATATTAAAAATTATATATAAAAAAATTTTTATATATACATTTTATAATAAAAACTTTAAAACAACTTTAAAAAAATTAATTAAATTTTTAAACACTTTTTTTTTAATATTACCCCTACTTTTAAAAAGGGTCCAGGTTCACATCCCTGATAATAATTTAATTTCAATGAATAATTCTGTAACCAATTTAGTATTTTGAAAGGTGTTTTTTTTAAAAGCAAATTTATAGAAATAAATTAACTTTGCAAAAACATCTTCCTAAACATTCCGATCTTGAAACGGAAGAAGACCCTTTTGTTACTAGATCCCCGATTTTAAAGAATATTCTTAAAGTTTCAAAATTTAAGGTTTTTATTATTTTTTTCAATCGAAATCGAGTGACCTAAATAAAAAATATATATAAACTTTTAAACGATAACTAATTTAACTAATTCATAAATCTATTTTTTTTTACAAAATTTCAAAAGATCTTTTTTATAAATAGAAACACAAATTAAACAAAAAAAAATCAATATTTTGTGTTAAATTAAAGTTTCTTTTTAACCATTAAAAAAATATTAAGAGATTTTAAATAATGTAACTTAATTACGTTTCTCATTTTTTTTTCCTTCTTCTTCATCAACATTACAAATATTTTATACCTTTCTTAATAATCAAGGATAAAATAGTTTTTTAATATATTTTTTTTGGATTAAATTTCATCATTTAAAATGCCGGCGCAGTATAATTTTGCTTTAGAAAGATCCTATAAAATAACAATATACGACCAAAATTGTCAACATGGACTTTGCGAGTAAATATATATATATACACACTATATTATTATATCTAAAGTTAGAATCAAATATTTTTGAATAAATCTTTGAAGAGGATTTCAAACCTCTGACTGTGTTGTTAAACTGTTTAAAAAAACGACTAACCCAATATTTTCATCAAAACAATATTATGCGAGCTTCGAGATTTTATTATCTGGCATCTATGAGCAAAATCTCCAGACTTGCGGAATAATTCTTTTGGCTAGAATATTGTGGTTAGGCCGTTAAATAATTGAACCTTTTAAACAAACAATCCTAAACTGATTATATCAGAATACAAAATAATATGACTATAATTTGGTGTTTATACTATTATGTTCCCTAAATCCTTTACAAACGTGAAGGGTGAAGGATGTCTTATTTTTTTTAAACCTACTAATTTAAAAAATAACAGACATTCAACAATCTCTAATACTAGTCAAGAAGATATTCTGACTGATTGCGATGGTTTTCGATGGGGGAGAAATATAAGACTCTGCGTCCCTAGGTCTTACGGTATAATTCAAATTATAAAACTTATTTATAAAAAGTTGTGATAACGTAAGCAATTGGCGTATGTTCGAAATTGATAAGGCAGATAATATATACATGCTAGCATACATTTAAGCAAATTATTTAAAAGTTGGAAAAATGATATGAAATAATTTGTTGAGCCCATTTGTAAAATTTTAAGATCTAATTTTTGTCCTAAAATGTATATTACAAGTCTACGTAAAAAAAAATCCTTGTTAAATTTTTGACAATTTAATTATAAACTCTTAAAGTAATTTTTAATTTATGTATACAACTTTTCTAAAATAAAATAAGTTATTTTTAAAAAAATTAATTTATTATTAAAATTTAAGAAATCGAGTTTGAGCGCATAATGTATAAATGCGGAAATCATTTATTTTTATTGAAAATTTTTTTGCCTCGCCTAAAAATTAGAAGATGAGAAAAGACATGAAGTAGCAATTTAAATATTTTTTTTAGTTTTTTATAAAGATGTGGTAAATATTTGATGTTTTATTAAAAAAAATTTCATTTAAATAAGTTCAACCAGGACAAGTTCACACCACCCCACACTCCAAAAATAAATTTCTAAAAATAATGGTCGACTGCATTTAGATCGAGTTTAGAAACTATTGTATATTTCTGATCATGGTCCTCAAATAAAAAACCCTTTCAAATCGTGGTCCTAAATAAATAGATCCTTCTAGGAACAGTGTCTTTTATTTTTTTTCCATCTTTAAAAAAATTTTGTGTTTATCAAATTTAATTCTTGTTTTAATATCAGTCAAATATGAATAATATAATAAATAATACAAATATTTAATTTAAAAGTAAAATGCTTTTTTTGACAAACTTTTAGTTGCAAAATAAAAATGAGATAAATAAGGAAAACAAATCACAAAAATTAAGTAACTCCTCTAGAAAAGTAATATAAATTAAAATATACAAATATATTTTACTAAATTATATAAATTGAATAATAAGGAAACTTAAATATTAATAAAAGACCGGTCCGGACTGCGGTCCTCGAAAAAACCGGATGGTCCTGTCCGGTACCGAAGTTTAGTTATTTAGTTGGCGAAATTAATCATGTCCTAGCGATCTGAACCCTGCATTCAATCCTTCATTATTTTTATATTTAGTTATTCTAGATAAAATTAATTATTCGATTCCAACAGATAATTCATTAATATTATTTTCAAAGGTATCATCTTGATATTATTCTTGACATTCGTCATTGCGGCCTTACTATTTGCTTGTTGCTTATCATATTGGTTATTCATAAAATTTAAGTATAAATTTTAAATAAATATTTGTTTTTTATTTTTTAAAAATCATATTAAAATTATATTTATTTGCTTACCCCAAAGGATTCAAACTGAACTACTATGAAACATAACTCTATAAAGGTTTGGAAACTGGTTTGATTTTTCAATAAGTGTCTTTATGCTTTTAGTCGCCTTTTTTAATATTTTTATATATTGCACTCTGACAGTTCTCAAGTTATCATTCAGAAGTGTTCTTAACTATAAAATCTACTCTCTCACTTTATAGATATTAATTTGACTAAAGAAAATCTTCCAAATATTTTATTTATTACATCTTCATGAAGAATTTTATTTAAGAATTAATACTGTTTTTTGTTATAATTCATTGTTATGTGCAACAATAATTAATAAAACATTAGTTGCTTTACGTATGGGTTTTTAGTGATAAAATTTTAAATAAAAAAATATGTATCTCTCTACACAAATACATAATTCTAATCAGTTTGTATAACAAAAGGTTCAAATCAGTTTTTGAAGGTTAAAACCCGGAACCGTTATTTTTTATGTATATCCAGAACCTAACCGATGTTCATTACGGTTTGGATCACTGTCTCTACCCTATTTTTTAACATTTAGAGATAATAGAATCAGAGAAGATGAAGAGAGAGTGATGCAACCAGCTATTAGAAGGAACGAAAGATACACTGATTTAGGTGGCGGGCATGCTACCTCGATACGGCCGGTAGGAATGTATGGATTACCTATAGATTCTAAGGGGAGACCAGTAGTTACGAAAGAAAATATTATAATAACACCATTGGAGCCAATAGCGACCGATCCTATTGTCTTACAAGAAAAAAACAAAGCAAAAAATAATAAAGTAGGGCCATATGCGGATGCGGCATCGCCATCATCTTCGACGACATCTTCCTCAATAAATCCCTTCGACAAAAAAGCGATGATTGTAAAGGAGTCCTTAGTTGAAGAAGGAGGGAAAAATCAACCTCAAGTAGCCGGGATATTATACGACCCTAGCAAAGTTATCGTGACGACTAATAAGGACGCGCCCATTGCCCAAGAGTTAGCGGTAACTCCTAGGCGTATTGATAGGAGTAGCATTGTCAAGGGAATTATAAATTATGGCAAGCAAGAAGATGAGAAAAAATTACAAGTAATCAATAATATACCGACTACAAATGAAACAAAATTTATTGACATACCGGTTGTAGTATCTAAACCAGCTATTTCTGAACCTATTGTACGCCGATTCGAAATCATTGACGACGTTAAAAATAATGCTTATCTCATAGATAATAATATAAAGTCAGAATACACATTATACAGCGATAAACCTAGTACTCCTTCTCCGCTAAAAAAGAAAACATGGACAGATTATTAAAAAGTTGAACCATGTAATTAATAATATTGACGCAAATTTACGTAAAACTATTAAATTTTATTTTTTATTTAATAAACTATTCAATGCAAATGTTTAATGCAATTATAAAATGAAAATTATATTATTTATAAAAGTCATTTATTATTATATAAAAAAAGAACAATATAAAACAATATTTACCCTGATATATAAATTAATAAATTATATAGTACTTAATAATTATCTCTTTCAAAAAATATAAACCTAAATAATAAAAGTAAATAGACCGAGAAAGTAGGTGGGTGATGTATCGGTGCTTTGCCTACAGCCATTTTGCCTAAAAAGGGCCAAAAATATACCAAAGCACCAAATTTAATAGCAAATGCTAAGATTATTTAATAAATGTGCAAATGTAAAATAATAAATTAGAAAATTTAATAGTAAATGAGGAGTAAAAATACTAGCAAATTAGCAAAATGACGTTTCGCCTTGCTAAAATGAGCCAAGAAGTGCCATAAGACCAAAATGATGTTTCCCCTAAAGCTGCCAAAAAGAGGCAAGAAGTACCAAAGAACCAAATTTAATTGCAAATACTCAAATTATAATAAATGAGAAAATATAATAGTAAATTATAAATTTAATGGTAAATGAGCTAGAATATATACAAATTTGCAAAACACCGTTTCGCTTAAAAATTCCAAAGGACCAAATTTAATAGAAAATATTCATGTTATATGATAAATGAGCAAATGTTATAGTAAATTGAAAAATTTGATAGTAAATAAGCAAATATACTACCAATTAGCAAAATGCGGTTTGGTCTAAACGTGTCAAATTTAATAGCAATACTGAAATTATTTAATAAATGAACAGATATTTCATATTGTAAAAAATGTCATACTTTGGCACATTTTAGGCAAAATCTCTAAAGGCAAAAGAGCTTTATAGGCAAAATGACTATTGGGGACCGAAAACGTTTTGAGGTGGCTTGGTCCTCCGTTGGCTACTGGGCAGTAGCAAGGTCATATCAAGACAATATATTTTTGTTTAAAAAAAATTAATAAAAAAACTTGCGATTCCCTAATTATCTTTAACGATGAATAGGTAGTTCACTTCTATCTAAATCAGGTATCAGAAGTAATAGTAATACACAGGAGATGTAAAACCGAACCCTCTGGATTCTCGTGTTTTTAATGGATCATTTATAAAGTTGAGGGTTTAAGTATCAAAAAAAATTATAAATTTTTTTTTATATCAATATTAGAAAATAAAATATTATAACAAAAGGCATACAATCAATTAAATAAAATAAATGTTTTCTTGAAATTTAATATATGAATAATTAGGTTACTTGAAATAGATATTGTCCAATTTATGCATAACCTTGAAGAGGGTTGGAACATGTTATGATGTTCAATTGAATACGTATGCAATTTTATTAAATATACATATTCAAAAGAAGATTTCTTTTAAAGAAAAATTTAATTTTCAAAAATTTTTTTTTAATATATTCATTAAACAGAAGGGAGGGACTTTATTAAATAATATTTTAAAATCAAATGATTTCTGGCACTCATCATTACAGGTCAAAATGATAAGATTTCTTTAAATTTACACATTTTGCACCTTATCATTAATACAAATTATAACGATAAGATTTCTCTAAATTTATGTTTCACCTCTAGCATGTAACAATAAATAATCGTATCATTTGTATCAACCATGATAAATTTTATTTAAATCTAATAACATCACATTTCTCATTTAAAAAATAAATAATTTCTATGTTTAATTCAAACTAAAACAACATTATCACACCATTATTATCATACGGGGCCTGAAAACGCGAGGCCGCCCCCAAACCTCATGGTTGTTTCCGGTCGGTATACTCCAACTATCCGCATCCATCTTTATTTTCTATACATTTATTTATTTATATAATATATAATTCTTCAACAAAAATGGCGAACAAAGAAATAAACATGTATTTATAATGGCGGAAGGAAGGGGACTGTGGGAACTTTTGCCTAAAAAAGAAAAAAGTAATTGATGTAAAACAACATAGTTTATATATATAATTATGCTAGAGACTTGGTTCTGATCAATTACTTTGAGTTTCCAGATTGGTAAACAATTTCCTCACAGTGACATGTATCTATAAGGTTATAATGATTCACATATAATCCCGCGGAGGTTGGCAGAGGAGCACAATAATCGGGGGGGGGGGGGGGGGGGTGTTTCTTGACCAAGTCTGCAGGGTGAGGTCGAAAAAGTTTGGAAAGGGAGTTTATATTCGAGCCAAAGATTCACCTATTTATATGATCTAGTAGATCTTTAATAATGATGTGGGTGTAAATGTGCTATAGCGCATAGGGCGATTTGGGCTTCCAAAAATGATGCCAAAAACCCTTCATATCTTTCATTGGCGTAGCCGGGGAAGGGGGGTAAGGGTAAATTCCCCCCTCAGAAATTTATCACTTTTTGTGAATATCATTTTAAGCTAATAAAAAATATTAGTCCTCCCCCCACTCCCTGACCCCAAAAAATTTATGTATATATCTTAAACAATAATTTGAAAGAAAGAATGTAAAAGTTGATATTTTTTCAAATCAAAACTATTCATCATAATTTATACTTTGGAAAAAAGCATTTATATATAAAAAAAGTGAACCAGAAATGTTTTTTAAGAAATGGAATATAAGTCAAAGATAAGTCTTAAGACAAAAATGAAATGTATTATAATTAAAATAATATAATATATCAAATATAATTTTTTATAAAGTGAGTAATTTTAATTTTATCTTAAAGTAAAATAAATCTTTTGCTTATTGCCTATCCTCTCTTTTGCAAAAGTTTAGTAATGAGCAAGAATGGTTAAAATTCCTATTTTTTCGATATAATACTTTCAGAGTGCCTGACAAAAATTCACCTAAATCCCTTACTCAGCAAATCAACGATGAAGACTCCCCATCTTTATGAAAACAAAATTTCACAGCCAGTCTTAAACAAAAAAAAGACTCTCGCCAATAGAGTTGAAGGCCAATCTGATCTGCAAGAAAATTGACAACCTCAATATTAAAGGAGCACTCAGATTGGTGTCCACACATGACTATTTGGCTGAGCCCTCCACGTCCACTTATTTAAAGTTATGTCAAAAACACCCCACAGCCATATCATTCCAATTTCCCCTCAACCTCATTCCACTTGCGCCTCACTTTTTACTACAGAAGAAGTGAGGAAAGCCATTCTTTCCTTTCATCGCAATTCTGCTCATGGGCTCGATGGCATACGCCCCATTTTTCTCCAGGACATCACTTCCCCTCTACATGCTCACAAACATCTGTTCTCTCCAGATTAACAAACTTCTGCAATAAAATTTTAAACGATGATGTACCAAATATCGTTTCACCTATCCTCTTTGGTTCTAGGCTAATCGCACTTCAAAAGCCTAATAATGATATCAGACCTATTGCCATTGGTTCTACCTTTCGTCGTTTAGTTGCAAAGATGATATCATCTCGAATTAAGCATGATGCTTCACATCTCCTAAGCCCCTTCCAACTTGGTGTTGGAATCCCCTGTGGCTGTGAAGTGGTTGTACATATGACCAGATCTTGAAAATTTACCCTCTAATGAATCCTTAATTAAAATCGACTTCTCTAATGTTTACAACACACTCTCCCGGAACTCCTTCCTGAGTTCCTCAAGTAATCTTTTTCCCAGTTACACTAAGTTTTTTTATTCGTGTTATCAACAGCCCTCCACTCTTCAGTTTGATACATTTCAAATTCCTTCCGTCGAGGGCATTCAGCAGGGAGACCCTCTACGTTCCCTATTTTTTTGTTTAGGTATTAATGACATCATTAAATCCATTAATTCGGTCTGCTCATTATCCTTGCATTCCTGGTACATTAATGATGGTATCCTTGGAGGATCCAATGTAGAGGTCAATAAAGCCGTGAACATCATCAAGGAGGCCGGATCTGCTATTGGACTCTCCATTAATCAAGAGAAATCAGAATTTATCCCTATCAATATTATCGAACCTAATTCAAATAAATCAAACTAACGACTCTTGATGGACTTTATCATTTGGGAGCCCCCGTGGGTGGTAACTCTGCTATTTCTTCCATCCTTCAGTCCACTTTGGATACTTTATTTGAGTTGGCAGATTTATTCTTCCTACTTCCCTCTCATAAAGCCTTTTTCCTTGTGTAAAATTTTTCCAATATCCCCCGTATTCTTTAGCACTTCGTTCAACCGCCATATTTATATTCCCCATTCCACTTGGAGTTTATAAAAATGGAATCAAAGGCCTTATCGAAAATATCCTAAATCTTAAATTTGATGAAATAGCATGGACACAAGCCTCTTTACCCACTAAGATGGGAGGTCTCTGCTTCAGATCTCCGTCCGATCTCGCCTTAACAGCCTTCATATCCAGTTGCCTTTTATCTAAACTTAGTAAATCCTAATTCTTTAAAACCCGACTCGTCTTATAATGAAACAATTATCAAATGGAAGACTCGAATTATTGCGGATCACCCTCTTCTCGAATCGAATAAGCAGATGGTTCAGGCCATGAGTTTCTTGAAGCTATTCCGTCTGTAAATCTGCAATTACAACTGAATAGAAACGAGCTTACTCACGGGATTGATATTCGATTAAATTGTCTAATTACCCAACCCCACACATGTTCAGGTTGCAGTTCTGCAGTTTTAGATAATGGTAGACATAGTCTCCACTGTCGCTCGTGTAAAGGTCGAATCGTTAGACATAATCTATGCAATTCAATCATCCTTAGAGCTCTTAGATCCGCTCATATCCCCACTCTTGAATCTTTTGGTCTTTTCAGATCATATGCGAAACGGCGTGACGGGATTTCTCAAATTCCTTAAAAGCGTGGTCGATTCCTGGTCTAGGACTACTCTTGTATTGATCCACTTGATCCATCAATCCAACATTTAATATACTTGAGAAAAGGGAGTCACTCAAAATAGCGAAATATTCCGAAATCTCTCAAGAATATATTTTCATCCCCATCATTTCCACAATCTTTACTACTTTTGTGAAATATGCCTTATCCCTTTTCAAGGAACTCGGCTCCCACATTCGTCAACTAACCGGTGAACTCCGCGAGG